ATCAGCGAACTTGCTGAGGGAGCACTCTGTGCCTTCATCCAGGTCATTGATGAATAAATTGAACAGGACTGGACCAAGGACTGACCCCTGGGGGACACTCCACTAGCTACAGGCCTCCAACTAGACTCTGCACCGCTGATCACCACCCTCTGGGCCCTGCCATCCAGCCAGTTCCTAATCCACCTCACTGTCCACTCATCTATCCCACACTTCCGGACCTTGCCCAGGAGTATATTGTGAGGGACGATGTCAAAAGCCTTGGTGAAGTCAAGATAGACGACATCCACTGCTCTCCCCTCGTCTATCCAGCTGGTCATTTCATCATAGAAGGCTATCAGGTTGGTCAAGCAGGATTGCCCGTTGGAGAACCCATGGTGAATACTCTTGAGCACCTTCTTGTGCCCAGAGACAACGGCCAGTATGAACCATTCCATCGCTTTTCCAGGGGTGGAGGTGAGGCTCACTGGCCTGTAGTTGCCTGGGTCCTCCTTCTTGCCTTTTTTGAAGACTGGTGTGACTTTGGCCTTCTTCCAGTCCCCCAGCACCTCCCCTGTTCTCCAGGATCTTTCTAAGATGATGGAGAGTGGCTTAGCTATGGCATCCGCCAGCTCCCACAGCACTCTGGGGTGCATCCCATCAGGGCACATGGGTTTGTGGGTGTCGAGTTTCCTTAGGTGCTCTCTGACCCAATCTTCCTCTGCCCAGGGCAAGTCTTCCTCTCTCCAGGCTTTTTCTCTTGTCCCTAGGGCCTGGGACTCTAAAGGGCTGAGGTGTGAGAGTCTGACTGTTTTTTGAAAGAGGGATTAATAAAATGAATATTATTTATTTGTAAAGTAGCTGTCTTAGAAGAGAAGCAGAATTTGATAATTTTATCTGTACTTGTTTCTTTATTATGTATGTTTCTGTGGGTATGTGGTGTAACGTTGGATGCTGTGTCTGCAGTTTTTTGGAGCATGAGTGGTATTTTCAGGACTGAGGGCTCAAATATCCCGGGGAGCCAAAACCAACTTTTTTTCCACCTTCCTCTCCAATTACTTTGAAACTCTAAATGTATACTCGTGTATTGATACATACAAAGTGTGGATCAACTATCCATTCTAGTCAAATAGAGAATGAATATATTTTTTTAAATAAACGTTTTAAAGTAGTGGAATTAAATTATTTGGATTTTTTTTTCTTTTAATATGAAAGCAATATTGTTGAAAAGGAGTTTTAATATGTACTCTCCTATGGTAATCAAACCACTTTCATTTGAAATAAATGAATTCATTACCACCAAAATTCTTTGTTACAGAAATTGCAAGGACTGTAGTGAATGTTAGTGGTGATTGTCATTATGTAACTAGCTGGAAGTATAATTGCTACTTTCAAAAATAGAAATGTTAAGTCCTTCTATAAACAGGAAGCATTATTGTTTCAATAGAAATAGCATTCATTATATTTCAAACTTTGTGTGCAGAGCAAAAAAATAGCTAGAATTACTGAGCAGGAATTTAAGTAAATAGAATACAAAATATATTTCTGATTTTTTTTTGTGTAAACATTTTGTAGAGCTTTTTAACAAACAGTTTGTAGCAAAGGTCCACAACTGAAGTGACCTACAAGTTACAACATGTAAGCATGGGTTGTGTAGCATAGTGTAGGTGACAGACAGTGTTCAATATACGCAGGTTTCACCAGTTGTTTTGGTTACCAAGTAATGATTTTGCTGACTAGAAGGTTAGTGCCCCAGGGACAGAGAGGAGGAGAGAACATCAAGACCCCAATTGCATTATTATCTCTTGTGTAGAATATCTGTCAAATACCTGGAGGGGAAAAAAAAAAAAAAAAAAACAGAAACAGAAGCTCTTGTGTCTTTCAGCATTAATGTCATCAAAGAATGTGGTGGACTATCTAAAAAAAAATTCTAATCTCTCTTTTCTTACCAGACAGAGGCTTCTGTTGACAACTGTGAAGATGGAGAGAAGTTTAATGTGGAACTCACTAAAAACATCCAGGGTTTAGGAATAACTATTGCTGGTTACATTGGAGACAAAACATCAGGTAATGTTAGTCTCTTGGAGCTTGATTCAAAATTTCTGTTGCGCAGAGTGGGGCAAGATGCACCATGCACTTAAATAGCCATTTGATATAGCACCTTCGAACAAAACTTTGATTCCCTTAAACTTTTCTAAAGACTTTTCTTTTGTTTTGCCTAAATATAACATCCTAAATATAAGCATCAACAAGTTGTTTAACTTCTCTAGGAAGCATAAGATTCAGATTAGAAACATAAATATTAATTAAAAAATCCATCCCCTGGCTCTTGTATCTTTTTTTAAATTCACCCTTACCTGAAGTTTGAGATAGGTATGTTTTTGAAAAACATTTTCTAAAGTAGTTTGAGGAGGCCGCTTTTTTTAAAATCATGTTTTCATTTTAAAAGTTTTTTATGAGATAATGCAGTAATATCCCGAGCAGTTTTAGGAGGGCTTTTTTCTTTTCTTTCAAAAAAACTACAGGTAGAATGCTACTTGCAAATGAAGAATTTCTCACAGTGACCTTGAATATAATAGATTTCAGTATTTTTAGCTGACCTATTTATCTCTTACAAAATTCACATTAGTGTATTTGGGAGTCAACCAGTTGTTTGTTTTTACCTGTAATTTCAACTATATTTCTTATTATTCAGAATTATTCAGTCTCACAGTTTGGCAAATGCAATACTGCCATGAAAGGCTGATTGTGTCATGACACTTTTCTGTGACTTTAACTCAGGTATATATTTTTAGAAAAATAGTAGGGATAGGTATGTGCTGTACTATTATTGGCTTACATCTTGGCTTTGAGAAGCTGGACTAAATTTTTAATGGTCCATTAATTTATCCTCCATAGGATGGGTAGTCAGTATTTATGTAATTCTATTTTCTAGAATCTTTGAGTAAACTATTAAAGGTAAATTAAATTATAGAATATATTTTGCTAGGTTATTTTAGTTGAATTAATATTGGACTATCACTGATCCATATTTTAAATTATTTTACTGCACGTAGCTATTGCTGCCTTTGGAACTAATTGAGCATCTCACATAATCTACAACTTAGAACATGGTTAAAGAATTACCGTGCTTCTAAAAAGGCAACGATATAACTACTGGACAATAAGATCTGCAATTCAATTTTTCTTCACCTAGCTTAATATGTCTTGTTACCTCCTTGCTGTTACAGGGTATAAATACATTGGGGAATAAGGAAGACCAGATATTTAATTGTTCAGAAAGTTTGAGAACAAAATGAACTAAGGAAAAATCAAAAGAGACAAATATGAAATGTTTTGCAAAGAGAAATAATGATTTCATGGTTTAAATATATTTGTTTTTTTATTCTTCGCAGGTTTAGTCTAGTCATTAGAGCAAAACACAGATGCCTCACTGCCGACTTTTGTCATATTGAGGCAGGATAGAAAATGAGTATTAGGTCTGCTAAGATACTGAGGTGTCTTGAGAACTGCTGAAAACACTTTTAGTAGATAATCTTCATTCAGAAATTATTTAACTAAAACAGATTGTTTTTGTAAAGTGTCTCTTCCATAGGTGCTTCATATATCTGACTTTTTTCCCAATTTCAGAATAAATAGTTGCCTGAAATGGGTTTGTTGCTGCTGTGTCTCCTCCTTCTCCTTCTCCTTCTCCTTCTCCTTCTCCTTCTCCTTCTCCTTCTCCTTCTCCTTCTCCTTCTCCTTCTCCTTCTCCTTCTCCTTCTCCTTCTCTCCTTCTCCTTCTCCTTCTCTCCTTCTCCTTCTCTCCTTCTCCTTCTCTCCTTCTCCTTTTCTCCTTCTCCTTTTCTCCTTCTCCTTCTCCTTTTCTCCTTCTCCTTTTCTCCTTCTTCTCCTTCTCCTTCTCCTTTTCTCCTTCTCCTTCTCCTCTTTTTTTTCCCCTTTAATTACATCAAATGCTCATTTTTAGCTGTACCTAAAAGCAGGTTCAAATATAGTAGTCCTGCTTGCTTATATGTTCTGCATTTCATTATCCAAGCATTCATTTTTTAAGCAGACAGGATATATAATAGGTTTATATATATAAGTTAATTTTATATATACATATATGTAAATGATAAATAGTTACAAGTATACTCAAACATAATTCTGCCTCCCATTTGTTATAAATCAGATCAAGAGTTAAAGATGAAGTTTTTTGTCAGTGTTGGTGTGAAGATTTAGGTTAAATTTAACTATTTTTGAATTTTTTTCTGAAGGAAATGGGATTTTGAGGTTGTTAAATTTTGAGTAAAATATGGAAGTGTGAGATGATATTAATCAGATTCAGCCTTTTGAAAAATAGAATGAAAAATACATATGTTTTAGTTAAAGCATATACTTTCTTACTAATTCCTTATCTTGCTTAGAGATGTGTTTTCTTTTTTTCTTTTTTTTTTCTGGCCTTGGTTAATGTCCTTAGTATGGGATTTTTGAATTATTTGAATTATTTATTTAATAAATTAATTAATTTAATTTTGTCTGTTTTCTTCGCCCCAGAACCTTCTGGTATCTTTGTGAAAAGCATTACAAAAGGCAGCGCTGTTGAACATGATGGTAGAATCCATGTAGGAGATCAAATTATAGTTGTAAGTAAAAACAGAAAGGGAATTGACACAGTCATTTGGGTCATATATTGAATCATTTGTGTGCAAAAAGCTGTACTTTTTAAAGCTGTGAAGTAAGGCTTTTCTTTTTTTATCTTCTTTTTTTTTTTTTAGTACATTACTTTTGGATTATATTGTTTGCAACTCTGTTTCTTAAAAAAATCCGAGTGTCTGTGTATAAGTTCCTTAGCAGTGTGGGCTGTTTAGAAAGCTTAGTTAAGGCAAAATGTGATATTCGGTTTGACAAAAATTAAGCAATTTTCTTTTAAAAAAACATTTTTTAAAATATGTCACTGAAGTTTTGATGCTTAGCATCAATATTCAGAAAAACTGCATAGAACTATGTTGTGGTGAAAGTTGAAATATAAATGCAGGGATGACTCTGTGGATTTCTCATATCTGACTTCTGACTTGTGTGAAGGAAGCCCTTAAAATTGCTTATTATTTGTCCAGACACATATATACCTGTGTGTAGATAGGTGGAAATATCTTTAGATATTATAATTATTTGAATGCTGAATACAAACTGAAATAGGATATAGCATAGCTGGACTTTTCTTGCTGCTGCAGTGCAGAAGGAAAAAATAATTGGAGTCTTATGTCTTCACCAAAGACATAAGAACAGTATTATTTTTATATCTGTTTTGCTTACGTGTGTTGGAAGAAAAATACCAACTCATTTTAAGTTATTTTGTATTCAAAAGAGCTCTGGAGTTGGAAGAAGTTCAGAGGAAGGCAACAAAGTGATTAAGTGTCTGTAGAGATTGATTCTTCATGCAGGAAGGATTAAAATAATGGAATATGTGTATTGTGTAGACAGACTCAGACAACAGTTGGTGCTAGCAGGTAGATCATTGTCAGGCATACTTGAGAAATTATAGTCACTAAGGGGTGAAAAGAAGAAAGGTGAGTTAATATGGAGCTTGAAGATAAAAAGAGAATAAAAAAAAGGAGAAAAACACCAGACTAGCTCTGAGATTCAGAAAATAAAATGTATTATTAGATAATGGGATAACTTCAAAATGAACAGGTCAAAAATCTGATTGCTTAACATATTTAAAAAACAGATGACAAATAACATCTGGACAGATGAGACAGAAACAGAGAAATTGAACTTAATTGGGTGCAGGGCTGGGCCTCCCTGCTCTGAGGTTACCAGGGTGTCTGAGGCAGGTAGCTTTGGTTGTCACCACGAGTGACATGTCCCTCAGCACCCCTCACGCCTTGCCTGTTATCTGGAGGGTTTCAGCCTTTCTCCTCTCCAACACTGCTGCCGGTGGGTGGCTGTGGGATGCTGCAGTGAAAATGCTTCGTGTATCCCAGGCCGCTGAAGCTTTGAGTCTTTTTTTGTTCTTGTCCCTCCACTGCTGAGCTTTGTGCTCAGCAGAACAGCTGATGCACCCTCAGTGTATTTTTAAGTGCTTTTAACCATTTTCTGTGGATGGTGTCTTGCTGGCTAATAGTCTGCTTAATCCTGCAGGTGGACGGGACAAATCTTCAGGGTTTTACTAACCAGCAAGCAGTGGACGTTTTGCGGCACACAGGACAAACTGTTCGGCTCACTTTGATCAGAAGAGGGCTTAAGCAGGAAAACCACCCCCAGCCGCAGGAGGACTTCAGTGCTGCTGTTGAGAAAGATTTACTGCTTCAAATGATAGACAGTGGCACAGCCAAGGGTAATTAAAATGGACTTGGCTTCAAAGTTTGCCTGAAATGGTTTTCTTACCAGTTACTAACTGTAGGTAATGGGCCCGATCTGTTCTGAACAGCCATTCCCATTGGAAAGAGCTGTTGTCCTTGTGTATGCAGTTCAGAAGTCCATAGCCAGCAGTAAGTTTGCCAGTGGTGAGGAGAGACTAGTGACTTTTCTGTAGACACCCTTAGGCTTTTATTATGTGCATGCTGAAATCCATACATCACACCTCGTAAATCGTAGTGTTTGAGCATTCACACAGATAACTGGATGTGTAAACAGATGTTTTCAGCTATTTATGTCATAGATCGATATCAACAGAAGTATATCGTAGATCAAACCATAATCACCCCACACACAAGATTTTTTGAAAGATGCAATAGTGCATTTCCTATAGTATTCTTGTCATTCAGCAGAAATTATGAAGGAAATGCTCAGAAAATGCTGTGTCTCCTGCCTGAAGTTGTTCAAGCCAGCTAATAACCTCATACCTGAAAAAGTATTGCAATAGAAGAGACTTTCTAAAAGTGGCAAGTCTGTCAAGTGCCCAGATCCCAAGGTATATGGGATTTTCTTACTACTGCATCAGATTTTGAATTGCACACAACATCAAAGAAGGAAAAATATAAGCATGACTTTAGCACGTATATGCTAAAGAATGCTAAATTTGTGCTTTCCAGTAACTCTTCTTTCAGTCGCAAAGAGAGATGCACAGGTGTGTTTTCATTTTTAACTTAAAAATGCAGAAGGCAAAGCATTAACAGTAGCCAAAATATCTTTAAAATACGACATTTGTTCTTGGCCTTTCACACTGCTACAAGGAGCCATTTCCCAAGCCTGGATCCTTTGAAGTCTTGTAGAAGGTTAGACAGACAGGTCAGAGAGCTTGATTGAGTAATACAATGCATAAAATAGCTAAAGAATCATCTTTCTTTTCCAGAAAACAGTGAAACGGAACAGGGATCTCCATCACTGCCATGCAGCACCAGTGTGGTAAACATTGGAGAGGACATTAAACAGCAGGAAACAGGTTCCCAATGTTTAATATTTTTTTTTTCTGTTAAAATGCATTTTGTTGTGCTTACACAGAGAGTGCATGTTTTGTATGCCTGTACAGCGAGGTGTGCTGTGCATCTGAGACTGTGCAGCTAGGGACTGGAAGGAATCGCACATGAAAGTGTGCACTGGGTACTAGAGAGCAAATACTACCAGTGACAACTACTGCGTGTGCCAGGAAACAGTGGTTGTGTCTGAGTGTGTGAAATGTCACATGAAGCAGCATAGACATTATTATTATTATTATTTTTAGTCAGTTCACCTGAACTACTTCATTAAGCCTTTTCTCTCCTTACTTCCCATCCTGTCCCCCACCATGCCTTCCCTTCCTAGCTCCCTGCAGCTCTTTGGATACAGCTCCTGGGCTTTTTGCTCTCGTGATAAATTTCCCTTTGACAAATGCCTAAGTCTGCATTCATTTCAGTCTGTATTCTCTGGTAATGCTTGAAATTTGTTTACTTGTGACTCACTGTTATGCTCTAACTTTCTCATTTTCTTTACAGAAATTCTTACTTTTCAACAGATATTTCCTTATCTACTTAAACTCTCAGGCACAGTGCTTGTGTTTTGGAAGCTGTATCTGGTGATGCATTTTTCAAACTCATAGGGAACATAATGCATGATGTAACATTTTCTTACTTCTGGAGGTCGAGGGGAGCTGAAAAACATCATGTATATGAGTTCTGTATTATATATCTTTTCTGTGTATCTTTTCATAACTTCTCCTGTTATTCTAGAAAGCCAAAGAATTTATTTTTAAGAGTTTCCCTTTGGACTTTGCCAGGTATTCTGGCTTAGGGAAAGTACCACCTCATTTGAATACCATACAGCATCTAAACAGATGGCTTTACTTTTAATTAATTTTCCGAGCATTCATTAGGTCTAAAACACTTTATAGAGGTACTTTCATTTCAACTTACCTGTTTATGTTTGTATGAAGATCCTAGCCTTGGCCTGTGGTAAGCATTCTAAATTTAAGAGTTTATTTTGGTATTTCCTGAGTATGCGGCACAGTTCTTGTAACTTAAATAACGAGTTATGTGTTAAGTCTGCCGTGTTCATTAGGTATTCCAACAAAATATTTTGGCTTTGTTTCCTGTTGTAGAATCTAAGCCCTTTGAGGAGAAAATGAGCAGAAAAAAGACTATTTAGTTTGATCTTTTAGATAAGCTTTCCGTCGAGTGAAGGGTCACTGCAGTTTGCTTTCTTGCCTGTTATTTTATTTCTCACAGCATCTTTCCTTTTCTTCTCAGCTCCTCTTCCAATAAGCATTTCATTGGTGGTCTACAACTGTGAGAATTACATATATGTGTGTGTGGATGTAAATCTAAGGGAAAGGAAAAAAATCCCTAGGGCTTGCATTCTCTCACTGCCCTGTTGGGTCTACAGTTAAAAAGAAGTGTCTTTAGCATTCATTCTCAGTTTTTAATTTTTTTTTTCATCTCAAACGTGTTCCGTAGAAGTTATTCCATATATATACGAAGTACACCCAAGAGGAACAGTATGCTGTGTCATGTCTGTTGATAATTCAGTCAATCAAATCCGTATGAGCAGCCCACATATAGCCTGATTAGTTGCCTGTGGCATGTCATTCTCCTTTGTTTTGTGCCCATTCTCCCGGTAAGGTTACACTGATGTCTGAGGTTAGTTTAAATATTTGCCTTTTGAAGAAATATCCTTAGTTTGGGAGGCTGCAAGTTAATGTAGTGATATTTATCCATCGCCAGCTGTGAGGTGTGAAGTAGGAAATGACTTTGAAGATATAAGAGCTGAGTAGCAGTTTCGGGCATGGCTTAGGAGCCTAGGATCAGTGTGAGAGCCCGCGAGGGCCTGTGTCCCTCAGCATGCTGCGATGTGCAAGCAGCAGCATCCCTGGCCGTGCCGGGCACCCAGCGCTGCTGTGCCAGGCTCCGCCGCGCGCAGCCCGGAGCGTGCGTGCGGAAAAGGCGTGAGCCCTGCGCCGCGCTGCAGGTTACTGTGCTGAATCTAATACTGTGCTTTTGGTCAGCGCAGGTGGAACTTACTGGATGAAGGCGGGGGGGAAATTATCTCATCTTTTTGATCTTTTTGAAAGGTTTTTTTCTTTTCCTATTAAATTTTCCTATTTATTCCCATTCCTTGGTGAGGCAAAAAAATGTCACATTTTTAGTCATATCTAGGAGAGTGCCCATGTCATGGAATGACTTACATACCAGGGATAGGATAGACAAGAGTGCTTAGTTTGCATCATAGTAATTTCAGACATAACTTTTAGATTTCCAGTTAACAACTGCGGAGGAAGTATCTCTGAAGAATAAATGGCAGAGAATTATGGGCTTAAATTATGAGATAGTGGTAAGTAAACCTTGATTATTATTGTTAGATGCCTTTGATCCATCTGTCTATTTTATTGATTACCTATAGATATATATAGTATTTATTGTATTTGTGTATTTTTATATATACTGTGCGTTCTTCTGCTTATTAATCTGCTGAGATGATTTTATTTCAGTTATAAATTTTGAATATAGATATGTGTTTTCCAATGACTCTGGAAGAATAATCATAGACTGCAAAGGCTGATATGTCTTTCAGTGTTGATAGTTATTTCACAGGTTTTGTACCTGAGAGGTAAATCCGTATTAGGGAAAATTAAATTTTTGAGGTGGACATCAAGACTCAATTGATTAGCTAGAATTTAAGGTTAGAGTCTGAAATCTCCTTCCCACCCTATATACTGACTGAACTCCTTTCTGATGTAGTGATCTAAATAACACACAGGACACTTAATTGTAACTAATAATTAAAAAAAAAAGTTTGGGACTTTATTTCAAAATTATATTCCCCAAACTGTATTTTCTACAAAAGTTTGCTCTGTTGTTTGGTTGTTATATACAGTTTCTGCTTGTATATGCTGAAATAATGCATTTATTGTGATCCAAGCTGCAGTTTTTACCTCATTGTCCCTTGATCCATTTTTTTTCTGCAAAAATTCAAATTTGAGTGCACATAGACTCTTCTCTGTCTTGCAGTGATCATGTTGGATAAGATTTTGTTTCAATTTCTGTGCTGCAAGAATGTGTTGGTTGTTCTTGCTTCAGAATCTGAAGCACCATAAAAAAGGTGGTTTAAAAATGTAGATATGGCTTTCTCACATTTTATCCACGCACCTTGGGTGTCAGTATAGGCACATTACTCCAAATGTGTTTTTTTCTGTTGTTGTTTCCTTGGTGAACAATATTTGAATCCATAGCAGAAGTTTTCTTTCCAAAACAGTTAACAGTTTTTTGAGATTGCATAACTTTCACTGAATATGGTCTATACATCCTAATATTTGCTCAATATTTCTATTTCCCTCTCAGTGCTTTTCATCGTACTGGGAAGTTAAATGTGGATGATTTCTTTTAGCTGCTGTTGCTATTGCCATTAGTGTTACTAAGAAATAGAAAACCCAAACTAATAACTCTGAATGTTTTTTGCATCCTGAAAGGTTGTATTACACATGACCAAGTTTCTAGTTTTGCAATTCTGAAATATTCGCTCCCCTGTATGTGAATTGAAGTGGAAAGTAACAAATGTCTTTAAATATATCAAAAGTGACTTTTTCTTCATCTTCTTTTAGGTGGTTGTAGTTAACAAATTTAGTGAAAGCAGTGGGTTAGGGATAAGCCTGGAAGCTACGGTGGGACATCATTTCATCAGATCTATCTTACCAGAGGGGCCAGTTGGACGAAGTGGCAAGCTGTTTAGTGGAGATGAGCTGCTTGAAGTAAGAAAAAAACTCCACCATGTCTTAGTATGCCTTCAGTAAGATTGTTGTGAAATATCTTGCTTTTCGCAGGTTTTGACTTGGGCATGTGGCTTATCTTTTTGCATATCAGCGCTAGTGAGAAGTGTTTGAGCAATCACTTCATATGCATTCTTATGCATATTTATTTATGCAAATGTATCTGACAATATGACATACATCTGTCCACTAGTAGCTGATTTTTTCAGAAATGTAACTCAAGGTGACCAAAAAATAATATTTAACAAAATAATTAAGACTTAATAGAAATACCTCTACCCATGACAGGTATTTTGTAAACCATTTTCTTGGAATTGAAATGTGAATTTCCTTGCCATGAATTCAAGGAATCAAAATGATCCATCTGCTTTTGTACTTAATATGCCAATTCTCACATAAATGTGCTAACGCTCCTTACTTCATTCCACTCTCTTTCATATCAATATCTTCCATATTGTAACTAGGGTCTCTTGCCTCAGAGGTGCCAGTGTTTATGGGATTTGTAAGGTTGACAGGCAGTTTATGAGACATAGCCATTCAGCTCAAAAATTGTTTAGATGTTAGTTCTTTTAGAAAAAAAGTTCTGTGGTTCAACTGAACAATTGATATTTTTGGTTAATAATATATTTTTTAACTTATTATTTTTCATTATACTTCTACTAAACTTTTTTATTTTTCCTTGAGGTAAATGAGATCTCTTTGCTTGGAGAAAATCACAAAGATGTGGTGAATATCTTGAAAGAATTGCCTATTAAAGTGACCATGGTGTGCTGTCGTCCAGTAGCTCCCCATATCAGTCACCCAGAAGTGTTGGACAGTCTAAGTCTCTCTGAGGTTCAGCTCACGGAAAAGGTATTGTGTTTTAAAGTTATTAAGAAAAGAAATGTTTCCTTTAGCAAATCATACAGAGTTAATGTAGAAGGGCAGAAGATTAGAAGGACCTTTTAGTATTTGAGAGTTTGGAATCAAGTAAATAGAAAAAGACAAGTTATATTTACTGACCCCACTTTAAGACAACCAGAAGCCATTGGTAACTTGTAAGCCATGGGAAAAAAAATCTAGAGTCCAGGAATAACTACTAAAGTACCTAACATCTGCTCTGCAAGTGGGCTGTGTTGGTGTGGCAAATTGACCAGTATTTTTTAGAGTCTGAATGTATATAATCCCATTTTGAAGTTAGCTTTTTGGTTTTCTTTGCAGGATATCTTAGTGTACACTCTCTGGCATATTTGTTTTTATCATTCATAACTTCAAAGCTCTGCGTAGTCTGGTGTGCTGAATATGTAGAAAGGATATTTATATGAAAAGAGTCACAACTATTTGCAGTTCTGGCTAAGGCACAAAGTTTGTCTCATTGCTAGGCTTTTTATAAATCAAAGAGAAAAACATATGTACATATGTGTGTGTGTGTTTGTCTTGTTTTTTTAAATGCTTTGACTTCTGTCAATAGTAGTAAATTCTGATTAAGGCCTGTTTTTTAATATACCATTTAATAACAGATATTGCCTCTGTATTTAGATAAAATATTAATGAGAGTTTTCTAAAGTGGTCAGTTGTCAGAAATTCCTTCTTGTATATATTCTTGTCAGTGAGTGCTTTAATACAGCATAGGTCTTACCCATGTTTATAACTATCTTGAGTTCTTACTCTTTCACTAACAGAGTTTAATCTGCTAATTCATGAACTTTTACATATACGCAGTTGGCAGATATTCCGTTTTTTCCAGGCGCATGTAGACCTTGGATTCATTGGCTCCTCAGACACGGAGGGCGGAGCTTTGGAAATTGTTGATGAGAATCAGAATATGGAAGAGGTGCAGAGCTCTTCCTTAGCGATGTGGGAAGCAGAAGTACAGCACATTGAGTTGGAGAAAGGCAATATGGGACTTGGATTTAGTATATTGGACTACCAGGTAACCTCTATATTCCCTCCTCTGAGCTGCGAACACGATACTTTTGCTTGTCTGGAATTCAGTCTGGGGTCCAAGTATTTTTTCTAATGTAAATATTAATGTAAGCTGGAAAATATAATAGAGCCATGTGGATGTCAGTATATCAAACATGCCATTAGTTGTGTTACTATTCCTCTTACTATAGTAAGACTAGAGCTTCTTTCATAGTAATCCAGGAAAAGTAATCAATAGTATACGAGAAATGCAGGAACCTCATCTCCTGATGCCTCACAGGCAATGAATGAGGTACACAACTTAGTATATTCAGGCATCCAGCCCTGTATTTCGTACCTGCATTTGGGTTCTTAGAGATAGATCCAATAAAGGGCTTAGGTGGTTAAAGCAGGATTTACTAAAATCCAGTACTGTGATTCTGAAATCCCTTGCTTAGCTGCTGTCTAACCAGGACATGCCTAAGTACTCCTGTTCGTTTTGTGTTTGATATCAACCCCGCTGGCCTCCGAGTCTGAGATTCCTGTTGTGCCAGGTACTGGCGGAGCTCAATTCCTGCCAGTGGCCTGGGTGTCAGGATCTGAGAGAAAACACTCCTTCCTTCCAGACCTGCACCTGAATTTTAGCGAGAGAAGAGAGCGGAGGTTGTTCTTTGTTTTCTATTGTCTCAGTACTTTTTTCCAAAGTCAGATTATTTCTTCCCATGGTCCATATAGGCTTGTCCTCCAGTGCTACATGGTGCCACAGAAGTGTTAGTTACCCAGTTCTTTATTGGATCTTGTCCTTAAAAGCACATTTCTATTCACATCTAGAGTTTACTTGCAGATGGGAATTATGCCCATACAACTCTACTTAGAGTTACTCTGGGCCCTAGAGATATTTTGCATCTGCAAACTGAAAAAGGTATGTGCAAAGCAAGGAGGTGTAGTAATGCGCACAAAATCTGAAGCATAGTCAAACATCTCTTCTGGGCAGCAGTGATTCAGTTTAATGCATTACTTTTGGTGTCCTTAACTGAGACAGTACAGCTGAACTTGAGTTTTTCCAATCCATGTCAGCACAGTAGTAGGGCATATTTTTCAACCTCAGCATTACTATCTCCTATTAGGTGTTGAAACAAACAGGTATTGCCCATATGGTCAGTTACTGCATTTCAGTTGTGGACAATCCTCCAATTCTAGGAATCTTTTCTGAAACTTACTTATATCTCTTTGGGATTTCATGTTTGTGATTTATACAGTATTTTTTTCTGTGGTGTGTTTAAAACCTTTCAGCTTGTCACAGAAGTTGATTCATTCCTCTGGAATTGTGAACAATAGATTTGGAGTATATATATGTGTACATTTGTGCTTTGCTATTACTGTTGAATTTTTAATTAATTTTCAATTAATAGTGGCTAAAGTTCTGGACTGTGTAAATGCTAATGCATTCCTCATGTTCTATACAGCAGCTGGCCTGTTCATATCACCCTTTACCAAGTGGCCGAGGTTTTTATAGGGCTATATACACAACAGAAATGATGTTTTCCAAAGAATGCGTGTCTTACTCATCATTTTAAATGACCATTTAAATACTTGCTGTAGAAATAGAGAGGAAACAGTGTTTGGTCCCAAGTAATATCTTCAGCAATTATGGCTGTGGTCCAACTTGTAAGTTGCCTTGTGGCAGCTTCCTTATTGCATTAATTACCATAGACTGTCAAGGTGCTTCTTAGTCTCCCTCTTTCTCTCTCTCCCTTCTCTCAGATTAGCTTTGAGCAGTCTCTTATTCCTATATTTTTGGATGTTGGTTTTATGGTGGGACTTTTCTCAGTTGTACATCTTGAAAAGGAAACTTGATACCATTGTCTGTCAACTTGTAAATGTTTGTTTTTCTCTTCTTTTTAGTATCAGTGAAGCTGATACTGTGTTACATTTCATATCTGTTTTTTTTCTTCTTTTTGCTTTTTGTGTGTAAGCACACAAGTGAATAAATATGTTGGTAACACTAACATGTTAACATGTGTTCCTTAGGAATATAATTGTGTAAGAATTATGCGAAGGTTTTTTGGCAGTGGAACTGTGTTCCTGTTCTTAGTATTTGATGGTAATGCTTATCAAAATCAGTGTATTGGAAAATGGGGACTATAAAGCAGTTTTCTTTCTGAAAGGAAACTTTGCTTTGTTGTGTCTTGTTCATTGAGAAGTGCTGTACTCCTGTCTCTCTTGCATGCATTCTGTAAAGTGCTTTCTCTACTGAGTGAACTCTAGTGTTGTAAAGCACAAGACTGCTCTTGAAAATAGCTACTCTGTTATAACAGCCGAGTACAAGGGAGGCTTAAGTCAGCGATGATTTCATTACAGCAGAAATATTTGAATTCCTGGAGTGTGTTTATTACAGTAAAAAGTTGACTCTGTGCACTTCAGCAGAATTTTATTCCTGAGATGGAGCACAACCTAGTAATAATTTTCACACTTAAAAACTGAAAATGTGTGCAGGCCTAAATGTAGAGACTGGAGGGTAAGCACCTGCTGAAGTGTAATGTGCAGGAACTGGCTGCAATTTTTAAAAGTTAATGCATAGAAATTGCCCTCTTAAGAATAAATAAAAATGATTGCTTTTCTTCTTCCACCTGCCTAGGACCCTGTGGATCCAGCAAACACTGTAATAGTGATTCGTTCCTTGGTTCCTGGTGGTGTGGCTGAGCAGGATGGCAGACTTCTCCCTGGAGATCGGCTCATGTTCGTCAACGATACCAACTTGGAGAACGGCAGCCTGGAAGAAGCGGTACAGGCACTGAAAGGAGCCCCAGCAGGAACAGTTAAAATAGGAGTTGCCAAACCACTGCCTGTAAGGATTTGGGATTTAAGGGTGTATTTTTCATGTCTTTTTAGATGGCGTATAGTATATGTTTTGCATTTGCCACATGCATTTTACATGCATCTAGAAAAGAAACCATTTTAAGTAGATTCCTGTATTTCTTTGCACATTTAGCAGGGGTCTGTCTAATTTGTGAATCTATAATGACTCCAGGACTCCTGGCATGCTTATCTGCTAGATCAGGGCTTGTAGCTGGAGAAACAGCAAAGTATCTTGCAACCAACAGAGTCTTTCAGGGCTGCAGGCTGCCAGACATAATTTTGTAACTTTCACAAAATCTTCACGTGTGTAAGATGGTGGCATGAAGTCAGTTTTAGGTTGCTTGTCTGGAATTTGAAAAGTCTGCTTTGTGAAGCCTGTTCTGCTGTAGCTGTAGCATGTAGGTAGTCTTTGTATTCAGACTGCGCGTTTTATATTAGAACACTGCTAAGTAGCTTTCAGCTCAGACACCATGGGCCTAGCAGTTATTTTAACATGCCTGTAATTCATGTGGAGCTTGATTTTAGAAGGTTATATTAAGCTGTAGAAATGTCTTCCTTTAGCCATCCCAGGGCAAAAATAAGAGAGACCTACCCTTTATGGTGACTCAGGAATAACAAGGAACTCAAGACATATAAGTACAGTAGCAGCAGGATTATCTAGATAGAGTGTCTGTCTACAATGTCCTACACAGTTACACATCTTTGCAGTTCTCTTTTAGTGATTCACTCTCTGCTTCTGGGACAGCTAAGAGTCCTCATTATGCAATGCCTAAGTAAGTCTTCAACTACTTGGGAATATATAATTTACAAATAAAGGAGAGTTTAAATGATTGTCTCGGATGGAAAACAGCTATTTAAAGAGTACATAGAGGGGGGATACATTTAAAGGAGAACTCAGATCTTCCTGAACTGTAATTCATTTTCTCGCTGACATCACAGCGAAACAGATAAAAAAAGCCCAGTGAAAACCTGTTGACTCTTTTCCTGGGCTGTCCTGAATAAAGTTGAAGTGTGAACTGGAGGTCCCAATCTGTCATGTTTAAGTTAGAGGAATGGTACCAGTTTGTATGAGCAAAGAAGATTGGCTCACTGTTTTTGGAAATCCAAATGTGGTGTTTTGAGCTTGCTTTTGCCTCTTATGAAATGTTCATATTGAAGTCCGTGTGGATGCAAATTGCAAATTTAAGTTCTTAGCAATTTTTTTTTTGTATGTGTGGGGAGGGGGGAGAAATGGATTTTTAAGTTACTAAGAACTTTTCTTTCCTTTTTATTGCAAGAGGGCATTTTTTTAGCTGGCTCTGCAACATTATTTTTTGTAGCAGAGACTATATATTGGGCACTAACATGTCCTGAAAATCAGCATTTGCATGCCTATGAAAATGTCAGCTCAAAAGATAGCTTGTGTGGGTGTTCCTTCGCTGCTCCCAGCATTACATAAAACTGGGAGATTTGGACTTTAATGTTTCACCTATTTAGGCTTTTTAATTCATTAAACATTTTGAGTAATCCTGTTTTTTCTTGGGATACTGGACAGATGTACATAAAATCAGATTATGCAGGGAAAAGCTACCGGTTTTCAGTGTTAAGAGTGTTTTGCCTTTTAGCGTCTGCCCCATTCAGCAGATGCAATCTTAGCACTGTCATCCTGCCTGTTAACATGATATTGCTTGTGGCTAGCGAGGCCTCTACTGTTGGGCTTCATTTCTGCATTTCCAATGTAAGCTCTTTTTAAAAAAGGTTTAATAAGAAGAACAGAAGTCCAGAACGAATTTAGACTAAGCTGTGGGTACTGTGATATAGCTGAATACTTGCTTATCATTGCTTGTGCACATAAAACAGCATTGTGAAGACAGATCAATTCAGGTAAATTAAAAAAAAAAGGAGAGAGAGACAAAACCGGAGTTTGTTTCCTTACGCGGTGGTGTGACTGTGACTGCGATGGGCTCTTGGCTGCGTTTGGTGTCCGCTGATCGCTGAGCTCCCCTGGCGATGCCCTCTGCACGTCCCCTGTGCTGGCCACCGGTCCGACTCAGAGCTTCGTTCTCTCTGCAGCTGTCGCCAGAGGAGGGCTATGTCTCTGCTAACGAAGATTGCTTTTTCCACGCTGCCCAGTCACTTGAGGAGGGCCCAGCTGATGCAGCCCTCTTCCGTGCTGAGCTAGCTCTGGTTAGTGATGCAACTTACCAAAGATTTGGTTAGGTCCGTGCGTTTTGTCATGGAGAGGGGCTGCTTTGTCACTGTTCACGCTTACTTCTTATGTCAACACACTGTTCCTGCACCCTGGCTGTGACCGTTCCCCACGTGGCAGAAACTGGCGTCTGGAGATCTTGTCCGTCTGCATGAGCTGTGGATCTGGCCTGTGATACTTTAGTTGCTGGAAAGCAAGGAAGTGTTGTACTGAGATTTTCAAAAGAGCATGGCCATCCATTTCTGCTTGCATTCATTGAGCATCCCCTTGAAAATCTCACTTTGCGTGCAGTAATGCACACAATGCACTTATTTTATAAATATGCACTTATTTTATAAAAATGCACTTATTTTATAAATAAGTCTCTTCACCTGTGCCTCTTTCTGCTTTCCCAGATACCCTGAGAAGTTTGTGGAACTCTATTTTGCATGCAAACCAGCCTTACGAGGAATGCGCTCTGTCTTTAAAAGTTGCGAGCACTTCATCCTAATAGTATTCTTTAGGCTTCAGCGTCAGTCAGTGATTATGAGATTCGCAAGGTTAAAGGGTGTTACATATAAATAATGAAATTTAACTGAGTATTAAAAAATTGCCAATAATTATTCAGACAAAAAAAAATAAAGGAAATGGGGCTCTACCAAGGAAAAAGAAGTGTATGTGTTTTCCTGATTATTCGTACTGATCTGGGCCAGATTTTGGAATTGATTTTGTCTCTAAGTTTTGGCGGCGCGAATCGGGAAGCATAAGCCAAGCTTCCCCACTAAGCAACAGAATTTAACATATTAAACAAAAAATCCAAATCAAACAAGAAAAGAGCTAAATGGATCCTTCCTCACAGAAAAATCTCTGAATTACTGATTCCTGGATGTTTGCTGCCTTTTGACATATTTGCAAAAATTTGCAACGATTTTAACAATGTGCTTTTAAAGAAGATTGCCTATCTTCTCTACCTCAGATTGGTATATTGGTATAATAGTTAGACAACTAGTCACTTCAAAATAACAGGATTTGACTTCTTCCATTCATTGAGAAGAAATAGGAAAGAATTAGGTTATCATTAATATACTTTAATTAAAAATATGTGGAAAAAAAGTCAGATAAAACTTAAGGGCGTAAAAATTTATTTCTTATGTAAACATTGTTAAAGTAATGCTGAAGAATAGTGAAAAGGCACGTCAATTAACAAGATCATTAAAGCTGTCAAAACTGTCCATCTGACTTAATTGCAATATGTTAAACGCGCCATTCTATCGCTAGAGAATGGACTTAAAGAGTGGACTTCAGGGAAGTATTTTCTACACTCAGATTCTAAAGATCTTTCCTCTTTTTGCACATTTTTTTTCTTAGTTTCAGTCTTATTTAGCATTAGTATGTATTTTCCAGAAGATGGACTGGAAGTAAGTGCCTCAGAGGACTAGTGCAAATTTGATGCTTGTTCCTGGAGCTTGAGACAAACAAGCAAAAAAGGAATACTTTTTCCCTCCAGAAACGATTATATCTTCTGATGTCACTAGAGAGTATTGCTATTCCTGTTGTGAACCTGCCATGATAAATTCACGATATGATTAACCATAAAGCCTAAAAAGTACCGCATTTAGATCTCATCTCTGCAGGTTATTGCCTAGGTGCCCTTAACTGTTTCCCAAGAGTTTCTGACACGGTCATTATTCTGAGATCATTGAACTGTTTTGTATTAGTATACACTGCTCTCTTGAATTTTACCAAGAAGATGAAAATAGAATAAAAGTATGGGATGTGAAGCACCATCCAGTTTGTTTTAGGACTGAATTTTGCTCTAGTATTTGGGAAATATGGAAATCTTAAAAAACAATGTATTTAATTTGAGGAAATAGGAAAAAAATGTTTCAAGAATACTGTCTTTGTCTGGAGCACTTTCTACATTTTTATTTCCTTTTGCAAGATAGGAAAACAATCCTTATTAATCTTATGCTTATTGAACATTTTGGAAATGAAAATATAAAATCAAGTATGTCATGAATGTTTCTTTTAAATGTTTGGAAAGTATTATACTTACCAGAGAATTATTTGTTGTGTGCTTTTAAAAGCGACAAAACCCATGAGGTTGTTTGAGTGGGGAACATTCCTTAAATGTGTCATTTAAGCGAAGCTTTTTACTGTTCCATCATTAATTCTTGTAAAAAGGAAAAAAAAAAAAAGAGAGAAAAGGAAAAATAAATCCCCAAACAAAAAGATACTGACCAGAGGGACTGGAGCAGAGTTTTCTTAACATCTCATACTTCTAATAATAGATATTAGCCTGCGTCAGTTCTAAAAGACATGTCAATTCAAACTCCAATTTTATTGCACATATTCCTTGCAACCTCTGAAGTCGGAGCTAGATGAATTGCAACTAGAGGCAGAAATTTCCCGTGCTGCGCAGCACGTGTAAAATTCCTTCGTAAAGCCTGAGGAGGATAGATAAATAAATAAATAAACGGAGCGAGGTGCTGGTCGGTGCGCGGCGGCTGCGGTGCATGTGCTCAGGGCTTACGGCGTGGCGGCGAGGAGGGATCCCAGCTGATTAAACTGCTGTTGTTGCCAGGTGGACTCCAGCGAGGCAGACCTGGCGGACGAGTCCACCTTCGGGTCGCAGTACTCCCCGGACAATGACGGCTCCTTCCAGGCGTCCCTGCTAGCCCTGCGCGGAAGCACCGGCAGCGATGAGCTCAGCTACAGCCTCTCTGTGCCGTTGTCTGCTCCCAAGGTAACACGGAGGATGGGGTTTGGGGGTGGCGAACTTGGCCAAGGCCGTGGGAAGGCTCTGTGTTTCTCCGTGGCAGCAGGTTTATTAGATGGAGAGGCACCGTGTTGTCACAGCTCCATCTGCACCTACATTTGCTGTCATATAAGCGGGATTTTGCTGTGGGAAGTGCTGGTGTCTTTCGGATGCCCACATTAAGGAGAGAGGCAGCTGGAAGGGTCAACGCTGGGGCTGCCTTTTGTGCGGGCGGGTGAACAGCCGTGGGTCTGTTTGCAACGTTGAAGTTGTGGTGAGCAGTCTGCTACAGAGAGGTTAATGGTTACTGCTTCAGAGCTAGCTGGAGAGTGCTTGCACAAAGTGACTGCTCTACTCTACAGTATTTTAGCCATAAAAAGCAAGAGTAAGCTTTCACCACAAGTTTTGCTTTGATACTATGCGGTTGAGGATATTCGATAATGCACAGTGTTCTTGAATCAAATGTTCGCAATGATACTGTAATTAAAAGTCCATTTACAGCATTGCAAACCTCTGGTTGTTAATTCAAGTAGTATATAAAGTCAGTAAATAAGTTTCTTGTGATTACTTTTTATTCTTGATGGTCACATACCTATATTGAATTGTTTTTGATGTGAGTGACAGTGTTTAGTTTCTTTCCATCTTTTTTCTTCCTCCTTTTTCCTGACAATCTACGTATTTATTTCTCTAATCCAGAGTCCTTGCGGTTCCTTCTAGTGCTCATGATCTCTGAAAGCAACAATAGAGAGCTTCTTTCCAGGGTTCTTCTCCATCTATGCTCCTGCACAGAGACCCTAGGTGCCTCTCTTTTTCTCCACACCTGAGCCTCAGTAACTATCTTCATCCTTTCTGGACTGTGTTCAGCCCTTGCAGGGTACTTGTCTGAAAGCTGAGTTCATCTTCTAATGGGCTCTCCTAATCCACAGTAGAGCACGTCTTTGCTGTGCCAGTGGGACAGCTTGCATTGTTTAACTCTGTAATTGTTACTTAAAGGGATTATGCATATTGCATGCTGAGAAGCGTTTTATGAGATACAGACTGGATTTACATTCTCTACAGTGCTGAGGCTGTCAGAAGCCTTAAGTTATTTTCAGCATTGCCTTGAAGAGGGCTTTTGTTCACTTTTTGTTTTTTAAGATCATCATCCTGACATTTCACTCTTCATGCGGTTGTTTGAACCTCTATGAGCTGACTGTAAAGTTCTCATCAAATAGCGTTTTTACTCTCTGCAGAGTTATGAATGACTTCATGAAGTAAACATGGTGAGGAAATCAGTTCTTAAAAGATGACTTTAAAAGCAACTGGGAAATGCAGTGAACAATTAGATGCTATGAGGAATGCAGAGGTATTTCAGCTATTTCTGGTGATAAGGATGACTGAAATACATACTCTCAATTTCTTTGCTGTCACTTTTAAAGCAGATGGTGTAAAATATGTTAAAGCAAAGTAATATAAGTGGTGTATTCCTGAAGATATGTTTATCTTAAAGAGAGGTCAATGCTTTAATCTTTTAAGCGAGACGAAGATAAGAAAGGATATGCAGTGCTGCTTTATATCTAGTAGCATGTGGAATAGATGTTGAATATAATATGGATTTTGGTAATGAGTCTGGTTTCACTGGTTTGGAAATGGTTATATAAAAAGACTTAAAAGTAGGCATGACAGCTGTTACTGAAACCTTCTGAAATCATTTAAATAGATTAGAGTCCTAGTGTTCTGTTCTCTAAAAGGTAGGAAATGATTTCTTGATTGCATCATGCTATTAGTGGTATTTAGGCTTGGTTCAATTATCTTCTCAGAAGTTACTTAAAGCAATTGTTCACAGGTCAACAGTGTTTGATGACTGTTGGGGACAATTTCCTCCAAAATAGCTGCCTTCATTCTTTTTGTTGAGCTGTGTTAATTATAGGGAGTCTGGCAAGCATGCCGTTTGCTCTTGATATCTGAACAGGAACTGGCTAGCTTGCATCTATATCCTAAGTTTATTTTTGGATGCCTCTTTATATCAGGAAAGATGCAGTGTTAGTTGGCACACAGCAAAAAGAATGAAGCAATTACTTTCGGATCTCACTGAGTTTTTCTGGACCTTTGTTTAAACCTTGATTGGAAACAGGGGAGTTGCCCCGTGAGGGACTGTCTCCTCATGCAGGTGGCATTTTTCTTGTGTGAAAAGTGGATCCTCTGGTATCTTTAGTTCTGTTATCTGTGTAAGAAATGTGTCAAAGAGCAAGTATTAAAGCACTTTATGAAAAGATGTAGAAAATGAATTCTAACACGTTCCATGCATGATGTTGTAAAATGCAACAAAATTATTTGAATTTGTGAATTTTGATTTAATATCTTCCATAACATAAATTGGAGAAACTTCCTTTTTCCACCTTTTGGGAGAAAGAGTAGAAGCATGAACAGGAATGGTAGCTGAAAAGCTAAGACATACATAGATTCTTCTGTCAATATTTGCTCTAATAGGCAGTAAAACAAATAGTATGGATATAGAACTTCTATGTCCTTGATGCATCTTCTTAATAACTAATGGCCTAGGAATATATATAAATTTTGTGTCAGAAGGTGATTATTGAGATCATTTAAACATGGATGTATAAAGTTAGGTAGCTTGGAATTTTGAAAATATATAAAATATTCTGTATGGAGGGCTTAGGCCTAGTAGCAGAGCCATTCTCAGTGAAACCTGCACTGCTGTCTTTAACAGCAATGTTGTATTTTGATGCTGCTGTACTTCAAAACCTCGTTGATCATTTTTGCTTAGGTTTGACTGAGTTTTATTTTTGGTGTTCTTTCTCTGTATTTCATTCAATTAACTTGATTGTCAAATTGTAAACTTACTGCATAAGCTGCTTGGAATTTCCCCTACCTTTTTATTTTTGCTATGTATTTTGAGAATAAAGATCTTGGCCTGACAAAGTCCTTCTCCCTGAGAAGGGTGACTGTACCATTTAGTTTTAATGACTTGCTAGTGTCATATCTAGTGTGAAAATCTGTGAGTTGATACTGCGGAAGTTAGCAGAGTTACGTTGATAACTGATAGATTAGATTTGGACCCTTAATGTTTGTCAGTGGTGGTACTTGCTACTCCTGTTGATTTGTGGTCCTAGGAATGGAAAAAGCAGTCTGAGAAATCAAGTACATTTTAAAATAAAAAGCCTGTAGGATATATTGAAGATACTGCCACTACAATAAATGTATTTATGTTCTGTAAAATTAGTTCCCACTGAAGATCTTAGCATGATATATACATTTTAGTTTTACTAGAAAAGGGTGTTGTTTACTGTCTCCTCTGTTTAACAGGCTATTGGAGAGGAAAGTTCAAACACTGCAGTTGATTTCCAAGTATCCAGCAAGAATCTGTACAACATGGATCTGAATCAGAGAGTGAGAGAGAAGATGCCCCTCACAGGCAAGAGCTTGGAAACTGCCACTGGTTTTACTAACAAAGACCTTTTGCCTCTGGATGCTTCGGATATCAACCAAAATGAAAATGAAAACACAAGAACTTGGACTGGACCTCAGACAGTAGAAGAAGATGCACAAAATGCAAACCTTGCTATCACAATGCAGCTGGATCCCACTGGAAAAGTAAAGTTTTTAAAAAAGAGAAAAGAAAAGTAGATATAGAATCACTATATTAAATTATATATATATATATAAAAGAACTTTTTACAGAAATTGACACTGGCTGACTGCCATGTATGCTATTTGATTATAAATGTCAGATGTAGATATGGTAAATCACATCTAAACACAGACATTTACAGACAAAGCAGGAGTCGATTTATGTCTTAAAGGTAGCCATCTCCCTGAGAGGGCAAGGTTTGGGGGATATAAAAATCTGCTCACTTCTCACGTCAGTAGGTCCTGATGAACTGCAGTTGGGCGGTTGGTCTTGCTGAAATGAGGCTTTTTTTCCCCTTCCCTGTTAACCTCTGCAGATCCGTGGGTGTAAGAGGGAGGGAGACACATAGCTAGAAACAAGGGCTGCGAAGCCAAGGGAGGAATTTCTGCAAATGCTTGACATTCTAGTACTCACACAAGGTCACACAGTTCAGCTCACAAACTAGTCTGTGATGCTGCACAGTTTTTCCTAATGACAGTCCCTATGATGTGTGTTTATATTCCTTCCATGCAGTGATTTATCAAGGAGTTCCTAAGAGACCTGTTGTTTCTTAGATTTTTTTTTTAAGTTTTCCTTTTCACATTTCCTTTCCTTTTTTTTTTTTTAAGTCTTGACATATTGTCAGACATCTGTGGTGAGTGAGTCAGAGAGACCTAAATTCATTCCCCTAATTTTAAGGGTGTAACTGATGTCCCTAAATTAAGACTTTGTAGTAGACTTTGTTGATTATGTAGATGAAAACAGGAACCTTACATATGTCAGTGTGATCTCTGATGCATTGAATTTTCAATACTTTATGTAAGGAATCTGCCTTAATTGTGCTATTAGATTTGCTATAAGGTACAGTGACCTGAGGTCAGGCTTCCCATCTCGGTGTTGTGAACTGGTGCTGCTTTTTTTTCTGTCAGGATCAAGTGATTTTAATGGAAAAGAGCTGCCCAGTGTCTGTGGAGGGAAGTTCCACAGTCCCAAATTCAGTCAAAAACTTGTACGAGAGGACTATCACTATCGCAAAAGGCAATTCAAGTCTAGGTAAGGTAGCTAATGTTAATGTTTTTGTAACCTCTTCAGGAATATCTCATTCTATTTATACCTTGTGTTTCCTGTTTTGAAAGAAGTGACTGAATATTTAATGGGGATAGCCTGAGAAAATGTTAATATCTGATTCTTTGCAGCCTTTGGTCTATTGAGCTCTGATAATGGATCCAAACGACACCACGTTCATCAGAGAAGTGAAGTGTCTCAATGAGATTTTGTTTTCTTTCCATAAAGAAAAATAGTTCACTCACTCCTAAATGTTAACAGTATATTTTAATACACTATTTTGTATTGTGTATAAGTTTATGTAGTGCAGTGAAAAAAAATGATATAGCTGAGGAGTTATATGTTGAAACATGACAAAACTTTGATCGAAGGGTTGCGCATTTGGCTTGCAAATAGATGTAAATAGAAAGAGATCCTGCTTTCTGTGTCTATTGCAAAGGATCTAAACAAGATGCTTGCTTAATTGCTACCAAATTTATATCCCTGATTGCTCCACTAGTTATGAAAATCAGATCATTGATTCCCTTAATGGACAATGTCTTTAGCTCAGGTGCTTGGCTTGCTTGGCTAAGTACCGTCTTTACTGCCCTCACTGTCAGGATGCAGAGAAAGCAGGACACAATGCAGGCTCAGGCATTTGGATTTTGTTAAAACAATTTTGTTAGTAATAACCTCTTAGTTAAGCAGAGCTCTGCATTTCCTATATGGCTGTGAGTGTTGTAAATGCAGTGAGCATGCAAAGAACATTTCATGACACGTAACAGTGAAGCATAAAAATACAAGCCTGGGATGGGATGAGAACTGTCAGACATTAGAAGCATGAAAAGCGAGAATAGCCTCTCATTGTGTATCCATGTTATGGATGTGATTTATGCTTTCTCCTGGGTTTTGCCTATAGACTTTTTCTTCCAGCCCCTGCTCTGGCTTGCTGTGTTGCCTGGGCACAGTGACCAGTTTACACACATGGCTGCACTGCTTTAAACTTTCATTTTTACAAAAGGAGCTAAATCAAGAGCTGTGAATGAAGTTGAAAGCTGCAGCTGCATCAATTATTTCCGTTGAGAACTGGCTTTTTTTTTTCCTTTTAAATGACATCACTCATAGCTTGTAATAGCTCTCCAAATCTAGCCATAGCTGGAGCTGTGTGCTTTTGTGTGTAATTCAGAAAAGCAAGAGCACTGAGCACACACATGAAAGAGCTGCTATAGGATTTCTGGTAACGAGATCTCATTTGAAAGGTTCATGTGAATGTAAATACGAGGCATCCATCCTGCAAGAGCCCCTACAGTTTCTGTATGTGCTGTGTTCAGCATGGTAACTCCACTAACCCACGAGTCAGAAGACAGGCAGTGTATCTCTATTGTATTCTTTCTGTAAGAGTGGGAGATAAATCAGGGGCTGATACACGTCTGATATGCCCATATTTAAATGATATGAAATGCAACTAGCCTAACCACAGCTGAATTTAGGAAATCCTAAATACAAATCTCCAATGTTCAATAATTCCATAATCTTTGATCTCTTTGGTATTAATTGCCATTAGGATGGTGGGTTTGTGTTCTTTCCAAAATGTTAAACAATCACTTCCACATACTGAAATAGACAGGTATATTCCTGTGTCTAAGAAGATTATTGTACAGCTCCTTGCTAGTCAGGGCCACCTTCTTTTTATAGCTAGACAGATATGCTGATCCCCACTGCAAATGGATGTGGGGAGACAAGACCAGTAGAAGCTCTGTAGTTTCAGGAAGGAGTCCTAAAAAGCACAAGTGAATATTAGTGTTGTTTTTTTTTTTTATTAGTGTATTTTGTCTTCTTTCAGACAGATGTAGAGGCAGATGTTTGTATGCCTGGCTGAGTTTGTGTTCCCTGGGGTCTAGAGCTGTTTTCTAAAACCTACTCAGTCAGTTCAGAGACTGTAGTCTGTCTCCCAAAGTATACGTCTATAGAGAAATCCGCTCACTCTTTGCTTTTGTAGCCATGTATGTGTATAAATGGTTGGATTTTTTTTTTTTTTTTGTAGTTATTGCCCTGGAAGCTCTTGCTATGAGTAGCTATTGTTTTGGAATCTTCCTCCTTCTGTTCACAGCCTGGGAAACATGGTAGATGTTTGCAGATACACAACTGTGCTAGGTTAGCAGGGTTTGCTAACTTGATGTTTGCTTGCAAAACCAGGAGAACAAAATAGGCTTGTCATTGCCCCTTTGTCCAGGAAATCTTGCTCTATAAAGAACTCTTCCTTGAGCTGCTTGTTGTTCCTAAGGGGCAGCTTCTGCGTTTGTCTTTCCACAGCAAATCTGCTATCCCTGCAGGTATCTTTCCCATGTCTGGCTTAGGAAAGAACACTTTTTCCTAGAGCTGTTACCAATGTTCATTTCACCAGTGAAATGTAACCCATCATGATGTAACAGTGAGAACTCATGCATGCAAGAAAATTCAAAAAAACATGTGAAGCCCTATAGTAAGAGTAAGTTAGAGCCTGATGCAGGATCGTGGGGGTGGGAGAAGGAGCAAGCTTTTCTGTCTCATTTCCCTCCAGAGAAAAGAGTGTGTAATTAAGTGATGTATGAGTCTAGAGAAGCAGTGCATTGCAGTGTAGCAGGTAGGCCTGTCCCATAGCAGCAGGAGTATTCTGTATCCTTTAGTAGTGCGAGGGCTCTGGCAGAGGCCGGGATGTGCTTCTGGCCCGCCACGGTCGGTGGGAAGGCAGCGCTGTCCCTCGTGGAGTCTGATTCATCCTCCAGCCTCAGCCAACCCTCTTTGCCTTGCAAATGGTACCTCCACAAAGCACAGCAAAATGTGAAACATGAACTGAGGGAAACGTACAGGAGAGAGATGAATTTAACGGCTTTTAGAATGAATTTTATTATCCATTTGCTCTTTCTTTTTTTTTTTCCTTTTTTTTTCCCCTCTTTATTTGCGCCCCACTTTCTTTTTTGGTCATAAGTTTGATATATGAGACGACACAAGGCAATTATATTGTTTTTGTGCTTTGTAACTCCTGTCTCCTGTTGGAAAGAAGGAAGTGCAAGGAAAACATGAGCAGTGCATTGGTTGGCTAGCTTTTACCTTCCTTTAATCAGGATTTACGTTCTATCTTTTGGGACTCAGACCAGTAGCATGTGTTTTGACCTTTATAAAGGTGATTAACTGTTGTCTGTTGCATGCCTGTTTCGCTATAGGGATGACAGTAAGTTCTAATAAAGATGGCTCTGGAATGATAGTCCGCAGCGTCATCCACGGAGGCTCAATAAGTCGTGATGGACGGATTGGTGTGGGGGACTGTATCCTGTCCATTAATGAGGAATCAACCTCTAACTTAACCAATGCACAAGCCCGAGCTATGCTAAGGAGGCATTCACTCATTGGACCAGACATAAAGTAGGTAAAACTAGAATATGAATTAGTGTATGAAAAGGCTAATAACTGAAAATTGTGTGTAAATATCCTAAATTAGAATTTTGTTTCTTTTACAATGTGAATTCATCTCTAAATTACAGCTTGCTATGGATAATTCATCTTCAGATTACAGTTTCTTGGGTTTGAAAGATAAAATCATGTGTGTAAGAGGCTTTGGATGTTTTTAAAAAAAACGTTGTTGGTTATCATCTGCTGTCTTGATTAGCTTTATTGCACACATAGGATGACTCTGAGCATGTAATACAGGTTTGATTGGATTCTTTATTTTTTTTCAAAATTGTGCTGTTTGATCCAGCATTTTCATTGTTAAAAGAGTTGCAGACAAAGTTCTGCATTCACGGTCAGACTCTTCCTAGAGAAAGTAAGATACATTTGTGTTTCTGAAACATGAACTGTCCTGGCCATTGCACAAATGATTTTATATGATAGATCTCTTTCTAATGGATTTTGCTTTTGACTGCGAGACAGAAAGTATGACACATGATATTAATGCAGAAAAATAATGTTTACTAAATTTTCAGTACATCTGTGAGAAACAGTAAACCAGTCTGTTTTGTGAAGTCACTTCCAAGTTTTTGTTAGCACATATAAAGGAGCTGTTATTCTAGTACATAAATATCTGTTCTTTGGAGTACTCCTTAAAACTTGCATCTTTTAACAGAACACTTGAAAAATCCATTTGCTTGGTTTATATTTCTTTTCAAGTTTCTTTCAACTTACAGAATTTTAACTTTTCTTTAAAGTGATTTTTTTTTCTAACTGCTGTGGTTGTGGAGTAATCCCTACCAACATGCACACCATCTAGAAATGGTATTTCCTAAGCAAGTTCATAAGACAGGATTCTAGGCCCGTAAATGCAGGATTTACAGCTCAGAGAAACTGTTAACTGTTTTTCTGAAATCCATATTGACATAGATTGAGTCAGGTCTGCTCGTGGTATTGCCAGAACTGCCTGTACAGGTTGCCTGTAGTTATTTAGGAGGGTGGCTTTGAAAAAGAGCGATTCAGCCCAGGTGGCAGGCAATCATGCATTTTGTATCCATTAAATGGGCTGTGCAGCATTTCCTTTTTCCCCTCAAGCTGTTCAAGTTTTGGACAGATCTCACTTTAGCCATGCAAGGGCAGATCTCACTTTAGAGAACAGCCATGCAAGGAATCTTCACCAAGGGCAGCAGGTTTAATTGTCTGCCACACAGCTGTCTTGTACTTAGGATTTAATGCAAGCTTTTTAAAATGATGGGATATGCTCATGTAATGAATTACATTACTGACAATGCTCTCACAAATATGAGTGAGCCGGGGATGATAAAACATGAAACTGAATATTATTCTGCTGTTTCAAAGTGTATTACAATTCCCACTGCGAGAACTGAAATCAAATTGGTATGTACGCGTGGATGTGCGTGTATGTCTGCCTCGATACACAAATGCCAGAGCACCATTTTTCTGTGAGGACTCTTTATTAATGCCAATGTTATGCAGTCAAGCCCAGATGTATTTATTGTTTGTGCTTATCCTTTTATAGCTGCTACAATTTATGCTATGTGAATAGGAGTTTTGTTTTGTAGTCATAGTCATCTTCTAGATTGGTCTGGAAGACCAAAATCTCATTTAAGACAGGAGTATTCAGTTATCCTGGAAAAATGAATCACTTTTTTGAGAGGTCTTGCAGGAAAAATTCTGACAAGGATTTGGCTTTCACTGTATATTTTTCGGAGCATTCCTCTTATAGGTATTCAAAAGGAATCCAGCTTCTTCATTTCAAATAAACGAAAGACCAAGCCCTCCATAGCTTCCAAATATTGCAAGAGTAAGGATGGATTTTTATTTTCCTGCACAGCTTTGGTAAAAAGCTATTCTGTGAATATAGGTGAGGTTCTCTTTAATTTGTACTTTAAAGAGCAGGTCAAGATCCCAGAAATATATCATGATACAAATGTCTGGGGAAATGTCCTGTATCATATGTTTGGAGATACAGGGTATAGGAGTACTGTTATTATTCCTATTTGCTCAGAGGGCTAAAATATAAACCTCCTACTGCAAAGCTAATATGGTACAGCACCATGCGGGAAGTTTCAGTGATTTCATGATTTGCCTTTCAAACGAAGCAAAAAATGAGTCTCTGCAGTGTTATCCTGGAAAAAAAGGAGTGTACAACCTCTCAAATGTGGCTGCCATGATTATTGTTCCTCTTTATCCATACAGGGCTTCAAGAACTGCCTAGTTTTTTGGGATACTAGAGTAATGTTAATTTATTCAGTGGCAAACATTTTTTGAGAAAACATCAAGCTGTTTTTAATTGATACATAAGATACTGTTTTATTTTATTTAAGAAAGTTTTATTACTTCAAGCTATCTGAGTTCCAGATTTATGTATTTACTTTTTCCCCCCTTTGTATGTGGAAACCAGATGTGTGGCCTTACCAGAACACATTCTGTTTCATTTCTCTCCCCACCTTGCCAGGAGTTCTTATGTTTCTGCAATAACAGCAAGGGGTTTGCGCTCAGCAGCAGCTGCTTGTAGCATCTGCAGGGTAATTACTGAGCTGAATCAGAATTCACCTGCCCTCACCTAAAGTGTGGGGATGAATTCCTGATCAAGAAGTAGAGTATTCACTGCAGTTCCATTTTTGCATGCTTCTTAATAATCACTGCTGTAGACACTAATAAAGTGCAAATGCTTTCTGAGAGATATGTAGACAGAGTGGAGGTGGAATGGGAGACAAAAAAAAAAAGGAGAAAAGGAGAAAGCAGAAAAAAAGAGAAGCATCTCACACTTTTAACTACATAAGTATGCCTTGTGCATTCAGCATGAGACATTGACATTTGTTAACACCATTGTAAAAAGATGCTGCATCATATGCTTCACATTCTAGATCTTCTCCAGCACCTGCTGATGATCAGGCCCTCTTTTATGTGTGAGTATTGGTGATTCAAACACTCGTTATGGCTCTGTGTTGCAAGTTGTCTGTAAAACCATTTCATGCTTTTATGACATCCATAATGTCAGGGATATATCCAGATATAGGTACATATTCTGGCTGTGTTTGCGTACATGTGGATGTAAAAATATGTTTGTGTGTGTATGTATGTTTTTGTTTCTATAAATCCATATGGCTTTTAAACTGAAGATTGGAGCATGCTTCCTAAAACTGGAGTGAAATCACCTCTATTTTAAAAGAAAATTATATTTTAAATTTAGTCTATGTTAGCCATCTCAAATGTGCTCAGAGCACGTGTGCATGTGTTTAGGGCTCACTGCAAGAATTGGCATGAGTATGATGTACTGATATATCTGGATTAATCTCAGTGTCATATTTTCTGTGGCACTTACTTATATTTTACTTTGGTCACATATGTAAAGCATAATTGTTAATGACAGTAACTTGTCCTGAAGGTTTTACACATTTTGTTATGTGGTTTGTTGGTGTTTCGAGGTTTTTCGTGTGGCTGTTCAGTCGAGCATGTGGTAAATGTTCCTCTGCATGCAGTGTTGTGTTTACAAGATGTTTTCACATGTGCACCGTTTGGTGTTTCCATCGTCACTGCTTTCATTGCTAGTGCGCCTCTTCGTGAGGGGGGAGGGATGGTTGCTTCTCTCAAAAAAATAAAAAGCACTTTCTCCTTAAAGCTGAACAGCTGTGAAAGAGCAGAAGTGATCAATCTTTGCATATACTTTCCCTTGAAGTTGTTGGATTTTAGCTTCTCTTGCAGATAAGAAATGCGCCTTAGTAGTAAAGCAGTCATTTACTTGTTTCCTCTGTTTTCTGTCTTCCCCCTCTTTTTTTCTGGCATTCGCTTCTCTCATTCTTTCTTTCCTGTGCCATTTTAAAGATGATACTGGTCTGGATGCCTGGGTTGCAATAGGTCAGCAGAGGTCCTTACTTGGTGGCAGCCCCAAAGCACCTCATGGTTATGGTCTTGCAACCAAGGTCCAGCTGGAGTACCCAGCTAGGCAGGGTATCTTCAGACCTTGCTGAGTCTTCCAAGAAGTGAGCTAGAAGAGACAAATTTTTAGTTGTGAGGATCTTATCCACCTGCTAGAAAAATAACAAATTCTCGGCACATGCAAATCCAAGAGCGCTAGTACAATCTGATCTTGCTGTATCTCACAGAGGCAACCTAATGAATGGAGGAGAAGGAGAGACAGCCAATCGGCAAAGATGGATTTCTATCAAATATGCTCCCTCCAACTGATTTTCAGCAAATAGATTTGTGTATTCGTCTTCATTTTGGTAATAATTTGCAAAGGAGAGAGTGGAGGGTGTTTCTGATTGACTGTCACATCAATACTATGGCTTAGGTAATCAGAGCAGCTGGGGAAACCTTTCTGGTTAACTGAACTTGGCAAATTAGCAGGCAAGAAACAGAAGAACTCCTACACAGAATACACCTTTTCCTGCATTCAATCCATGTAATCCTGGATTATATTTGTGAAATAGATGAAGCGTTATTGAAATTTATTTGCAGATAAGAGCACACAGCTGAGATATATGGAATGTTTCTTTGCTGAAAATTAGACAGATATATAGGTAAGACACTAAAATAGAAAAAAAAAATGTAATTCTTAGAGGAGCTGAAATTTAATAGCTCCCAGTGATACAATCTAAATGTGAATCCATCTGTGGAAATTAATTAGGTAATTCAGTTTTAGATGGCCAGTTTTAAAATGGCAGAGCAAATTGCTTTCCTGTGGACTGCACAACACATACCTCTAAGAGAGTTGTGGGGAGGTATTAGCAAGTATCATGTAAGGATCTTTGAGAGCATCCTTTGAGCCTTACCTTTCGAATACCCTCATATAATGTCAGTTATTCGCTGATATAATTAATCTACAAGGTATCCCAGATGCTGGAGAGCATATGCTCTCCCTCCCTTATTAGCTGATTCCTCATGCTAACATTGCATGGGGATATGGAGTGAGAGATAAGGACTGCTACTCTCCTTGGACCCTGAGATCTAGCAAGATGATTTGCCTTGTGTTCCCTGAACAAAAGGACTAGGCGAGAGCTGAAATGTGCTGCACACTCTACCATCAGCAATCACTCTCTGATGTTTTCATCTGGGATGAATCTTGAGCCTCAGTGCATCTGTTTCCTGTCCAAGACCCTGCTATTCTCCATTGTGTGTTACAAACAAAAGCTTTTAGCTACAGCTGAGCATAAAGGAGATGGTCCAAATGTTCCAGCCAACAGAAACATTGCTTGCAGTTCTAGTGTCTTTACTGCCATTGACTTTCAGGGGAAAATGTATTATTTCCTGCTTATTTTTATGGAGTGAAAATTGATGAATTTGAGGGATAGGTGGATGTAACTGGATGAATGATGCATTTTTTTCACTGAAATGCAGTTTGCAGATTTTGTGGCTTTTATAATGGCAAGAATCTTATGAGTTTACTAGATGGAACATCTGTAGCAGCATTTGTCCCCATGAGAGTTTTATGAGCATAATACAGCACATTAAACACTAATGGAATTGGAGATAGCTGATGAGCAGTTGCAGTCACTTTCAAAAACTGAAGAACTTTTCAAAGATTACTTTTAAAATAGTCATTTCCATTGTATCCTCCCTTGGTAGTCTCAGTTTCACTGTTTAGGCTTGGTAGAGGAGGTCTTTTATGTTGTTGTGTATTATTTGGTTCTGGCATGTCTTCAGGAAAGACAGATAAAAATCAGAGACTTTGTGTTGACTACTCATGTTACCTATAGAACACTTCAGGATGGAAGGACTTTGAATGCATGACATTGTTGTACTTGAAAAAAGCAGGCCAAGGCAGAGGAGGAAATAGACTCTAAGGTAGAGAAAAAGCAGGTGATAGTATGTAGTACATCTGTTACAGATAGTGGCACCCTATTGCACTTTTCAAGATAGAGTGACTATGAGGAGGTAGGATGTAGGTTTTTCTTTTTTTTTTTAAATAAAGATTCCTCATTCCTTATTCTCCTTCCTTCTCTCAATCTCCCTGTGCTATCTCTCTTTCTGGTGTTCAACCCTCCTCGAGTTGTGCCAGGGCTTCCAGAGTCTGCACCTCGTTTGGCCAGTGTAATATGACAGTCTGAGTTCCCCAAGCTGTCTGGAAGTGTGCAATGATGTGGTAGGAAGGATCTGAGTGCAGGCAGGGGGATTGCTCCCTGCGGCTTAGTTTTTGTGCTCTAATATGTCTGTGTGTCCAAGCCCATGAAGTTTTTTCCACCAAAACCAAAGATGGATCCCAAATTTCTGTAGAATCCACAAAATCTTCTACACACTAACTTCCAAAAGCAGTTTCAGACAGCATGTAGAGTGCACACCTCCCAAATCCTTCAGTGTTTGTCTGCATGAGGTATCTCTTGTTTTAAACATACCTTTTAGCAAGACTGTCTCAATTGTACTTCGTCACTGTCCAAAAATCATTTGCTTTAAATGTAGTGGTAAACCCTAAGTAGTGTGCTGTTCAGCTACCTAATTTGAACCTAGATACTTTTTTCTGTCAATGTCACACGGTTTGTATATAATTTCATATTCCCAATATATCAGCAAGATGTCCTTAAAGTTAGTGGCTGTATGAAGTAGTCTTTAGTGGCTTCCATATAGCCATTCCTCACACTCACCAAAGACAGGACCAGCAGTCTGATGTGACTTTTAATCATCTTTTACTCTTTGCAGTATTACTTATGTGGCAGCAGAAAATTTAGAAGAGTACCGAGCCGGCTTAGGACAACAGACAGAGGGGTCTGTGCCGCTTGATGTGTTTTCTTCACATACGGTCAGGTGAGTCAAAAGACTTTTACCCCCATGTGAGTCTCCATGGTTCAATTTTTTCCCAATAGTGTCAAACTTTGTATTGTTCTGCTCAAGCAAATAAGGTTGGCTTACAAGATTCAGAAAATGAACGATCCTCTTTAGCAGCCATCACAATAAAAAGTTGATGAGAATTCTTTTTTTTTTTTTTTTAGCTTTGGCTAGCAAAGACTTTATTTCTTTTACTTGCTCTATGTTCTATGAAAAAAGTAGGCTGCTTGCAGGTATTTTTTATTTCTTCTCAACTTTTTTTTCTGAAAACAGCAATGTCAAAACAGTAAGAAAAATTACTGGTATGATGCACTAGCATAAAAGAACGGTGACAACAGAAAATAGTTGTTCTAATCAAACAAGAAGTTAGACCATGGAAATTTTGTAAGAGTGAAGCTGTCTGATCTATGCATGACCAGCATTCTCAATACTTGCAACATTAGAGTTCAGTATTGGTCATCTCTTCAGAATGTATCTGCAGAGAATGAACTATGCCATTCTTTTCCTTTGATTTCAAAAATTCAATTTCAAACTATAAGCCAGGATATTCAAAGTGACTAATAATTCCACCCCTTCCCCCCAGCTTTTTTTTCCCCAGTTTTATAATCTGGTCTTTGACCTCTTTAATAAAAGAGACTTGATTTTAAGGGAATACACATGGTGGCTTCTGATAATTCTTTCTAAATATCTAAAGATAATCTCCACAAATGCTAGCTATTTTTGAGGACAGCTGGTTTTATTCCTTCCATTTTGGAAACAATAAGCAGAATATAGTTTTTTTTATGCTTTAAGTGTCACTTGATAAAAACTTAATTACTGATGCAAGTGAAAGGGGAATTTACAAATACGTCATGTCTACTGGACGTGTTGTAAGTCTGCTACTTGACTGCTGACTGTAGATGGTTTGCAGTTGTGTTCTAAAATTGTTTTTGCAGCATAAAGGGAATACTGAAAGGCAAGTATTGGTCTAACATATTTTAAATGCTTAAAATTACTTTCAAACTGGGTTTCAGCTTTGTTGGGTAAAAGAGCTCTTTTAACTAATATGTATTTTTGCATCTTCTGGAAGATTGTTGGTTTGTTTCATTCATATTGTAACTGCAATTTACAGGTAATGTACAAGTTCTGACGCTAGTAATGTGGTACAATACATGAAATTTTACTGTGAAATCTATTGATTATGGACATTTTTAAAATGTACTGCATCTTCCTGTTTTTTAGCAGGGAAATTCCAGAACTTCCAGAACGTGAAGAGGGGGAGGGAGAAGAAAGTGAACTTCAAAATGCAGCTTTCAGTAACTGGAATCAGCCCAGAAAGTAAGTGCGGATCCGATGATTATATAATATCTCTAGAAATTCAAAAAATGGTGAAAAACTTGATATAGTTCAAAATAAATAAGAAAACAACAGAAATACTGCATTTAGATGTGTCATTCATTGCAAGAGTAATTCTGTGTTGCTGTTATTGACTTTGGCCAAATCCCTGCAATTTGTTGATTGCCTTGGTAATTTATACACTAGACCTATGGGACTCCATAGGAAAAGAAAAAGAGAATGATTCAAAGTTTTAATTAGAAGCCAGATAAAATGAAGGGCAGTAGATACAAGTACAGACCCAGTGAATAACTACCAAAGAGAGACAAATAAACATCGAAGGAAGAGTTATCTGTGAATGGATTTTTTAGAAAAATGTGCAGGTAGGTGGGTCTTCAGAAGGCAGAGCAGAGAGGATGTTATTAAAATCATACTAGGTTTTCACTTATTCCTGTTTTTGCTGTGGCAGGGTTGAACTTTGGAGAGAGCCCAGCAAATCCCTGGGGATCAGCATCGTTGGTGGGCGAGGGATGGGGAGCCGCCTGAGTAACGGGGAAGTGATGAGAGGCATCTTTATCAAACACATCCTGGAAGACAGCCCAGCGGGCAAAAATGGCACACTGAAAACTGGAGACCGAATCGTGGAGGTATTGGCTCACTTCCTTTTGCTTCCAAAGCCCCTCACACCTTAGGAGTTGTGAAGATGGGTGCTCGGTCTTGCTTTGCTCGGTGATGCCTGTGTGGTTGCTCCAGCTGGCAGCACTTGAGCCATACAGTGGTACCATCTGCTGAGTCAGTCTTGCATGCAGACAGCTTTAAGTTCAATATATGTTCTGCTGTTGTATAGGTGGCTCATTGTATGTACAGGAGTCTACTCAGACTGTGGTTCTATCTGTCTCTTTTAAAGGCAGAATGTTTAGGAAAAAAACTTATTTTGGTGAAGCCAAGAAGCTCTACCAGTGCATGCTGGATAGCAACAAAAATGGTCAGAGATTGGGAAACCAAGCAAAGAAATGCTAAGCTTATCTGTCTTTTAAATCTAGCATACTTTGAAAGGAAGAATTTGCAGGGAAGCTGGGAGCATGTATCCATGCCTGAGGATACAGAAAACCTCCAGAGAGATTCCTAGAGAGAAATTTGTTCCGATTTCTCATTTCCTATTTAGCCAGTTCTATGATTTTACAGTGATTTTTGTCTTCCTTGTTCAGATAAATTGTTGAATGAGCATGCTAAAAGCCATTTATATTTCTGGAGATGATTTTCAGTAAGTTGGGCATTACCCATCTTCATCACTGGGCTGCCGGGAACTTCTCCCTCCTGAGGGTTGTTAGCTGACTCCACCAGTGCAAATGTATTGAGACAGATGGTGGACACTGTGGCTCTTCCTTTAAAAGAAAGTGAGCCTGTTTTAGACCAAGGCTTTAGAACTGAGGTACAGTATCCAAATATAAGACCTCGAAGTAGTACATAAATATGAGCAGTGCTTTCTGGGGCAGGATGGAAGAGCTTCCAGTACATAACAAATTTGGAGATAGAATTTTGCTCAATGGCCACAAAGTAAAAAAAAAATATTACTTAAAACTGAATATCAGGATTCTTATGAATGCGGTGGTTGTCTCTGTTAACAAAGTGCTTGCAGAAGTGAAAGTGGGTGAGCAAATTTCATAATTACTAGTGAGTGTTTCTGAATGGATGGTGTCAGTTCCTCAAGTTGTGCTTTCCTTTCTGTTAGTACACATAATATTTCAGACAGGGGAGGTCTCATAACTGTAACATTACTCTTCGTATTCTAGGTTTCAAATACTCTCTTTCACATCATTTTCTTTCTCTCCTTATTTTTTACATTGGATGGTTAAGTCTAAGATAGAATTATGCAGTTAAAGAGATAGAGGTAATCCTCATTATATAACTTCCTGTGCAAGAATTGCCACTAACAAGTAACCTGTGTTAGCTTGTAGCTTTTTTTGTGGTCACTGTGAGAATGCTTTACTTATGCTAACCTCACCATAACATGATTCTCACCTGGAGAGCAAGAGAAAGTATTTTACACACAAATACGTAGGAAGACACAGAGTCAACCAGTGAAACATCTGTTCTTAGCCATCCTTTGTAAATGCTTTCTTTAAGAGATAAGGCTTTTCAGCTCTAAAAAATTAAATTACTTGGAAAAAAAGCCGAACAGCTAAAGTTAGTTTTCATTATAAAGACTAATTTATTATTAAAAAAAAGTTGTTTATTATAAAAAAGAAAAAATATTGTGTACTAACATTATACCCCAAAATGAAAGATCCTCCAGTCAGTTTCAGTCTTCTAGATCTCACCAAATGCTGAAGTTACTCTGAGAAAGCATTGACTTGAGCAGTGTTTGGCAAATGCTGTCACTCTGTTCATATAGTTTTATCCTCTGTATCCCACTGGCTGTGGGCAAATGAGTGGAGCTCGATCCAAGAAGGTTGAATAACCTGTTTTTAAATCCATTGGGAATATTTAAAACCTGAAATATGTGGTTTGGGGCAGGGAGTCATCCCAGCTCCTGTAGGAATAAAAGGGTAGGAATAAAAGGGCTGTTTGAAGTCCTCTCAGCGCTCTTGGAAATCTCATCCCTGTACATGCAGACTTTGCTCCTCCTCAGGCCAAGTCAGGTCAGAAGCCACTGACCATGGTGATGTGGGCTTAAGTTTCTGTAGAAGCTCCCAGATCAAAATCCCAAAGCTGATTCGTGAGATACTGTTAGCTTCTTGTGATGATAAGATGAGGCCTTCCAATTACAGGTGGATGGAATTGACCTCAGAGATGCCAGCCATGAACAAGCTGTGGAAGCCATACGGAAGGCAGGCAACCCTGTAGTCTTTATGGTACAAAGCATTATAAGCAGACCAAGGGTAAGCATAAAAAATATGAAGAGAGATACACTATGTAGTAGTAGATAAAATAAATGTTCAAGGTGGTGGTGTTTGGGAATGGGATATTTAATCCTGAAACTTCCGTCTCAGCTATTCTAGGAACAAAGATTTGATTTAAGTATTATTTCCATTTAGAATGAAATCGATTTGGAATTGGAATTACCCTCCAGCACGCCGTCCTCAAACTATTTTGAAAAGCCTCAAGAATGATAATTTGTTGGGGGGCAGAGTAGGAGTCTAACTAAAATCAACTCTTAGCGATTGACAGCATGTCTGAGGAGCGCATGCAGAAATACAACATCTGTTAAAATATTCATTGGACATTAATGAAAGGACATAGAAGTACACGGAAGTTTTCCGTCACTAAGCTGCATGGACATTGCAGACACAAGCTAATGGGCTTTATTAGAGTTGCTTGCATCACATGAAACTAAACTTCCTCATTGTAGAGTCTGTGTAAGCTGCATGTTTATTTACTAGTTGTCTCATAACTCTTGTTCCCCAGCCAGAATCTCTTTATAGCTGTTCTTCAGCTTCTGCTCCCTCTGGGCAGAAACCCACTAACCCATTTTATCGTCAGTCATCTGAGGTAAAGTTGCATGAAAAACATCTGTTGAATGTTGGGTTTTGATACTTGAGATGCTGAAATGGCTTTTGCGTTTGCTGTGAGGTGAACAAAATTGGCATTGCTGAATAATCAGGAGACTGTTTGGGATGTGAAAGATGCCATTACTTTATCACAGTTATTTTTTCTCACTTAGAGAATGCTCCTTTGCTATTTTTAATTACATTTTGTTCTCCATTTTTTTTTTCACTTATTAAGCTTGTTGATTGTTTCTTAATTGTTTATTAACAAACTTTTATTTCTCTGTAAGCAGAAGCATTGCAAATGCTCTTACTGTACACATGCTTTATGTTGTGATCTTTGTGAACAGCATTATTTTATTGTCTTCATTTTCTGATATTTGCATTGGTACTTTAAAATAAGACTTTTAAGGGAGTTTCCTGCCTCCATGCATGTGCAGTCAACCAGACAGCTAGCTGCCTGCAAACAGGAGCTGCATTAGTATGGTACTGATCTGTGTTTAGTAAGGCAGTCATTTTCAAGTGACATGTTTCTATTTAGTCAGGTTTTCTTTCATTCTTTCCCTCTCCCCCCCC